GGGAGCATTTCACCCGATTTCACCCCTTTTGGATCCAAACTATGCCACTCTTTTGAATGACGTGTTGATTAGCAGAAAACGGTTATTTCAACGTTCAGTAAAAGTCTTATTAGCATTATGAATCACATCCAAGACATCAGAGGCATAGGCTGTATAGTCGTACAACATTATTATTATTATTATTATTATTATTATTATTATTATTATTATTATTATTATTTTAATTTGATTTATATGCCGCCCTTCTCCGGAGACTCAGGGCGGCTTACAATGTGCTCAGCAATAGCCTTCATCCTTTTGTATATTTATACAAAGTCAGCTTATTGCCCCCACAACTGGGTCCTCAATTTACCTACCTTAGAAAGGATGGAAGGCTGAGTCAACCTTGAGCCTGGCAAGATTCGAACCTGCAGTAATTGCAGGCAGCTGGTCTTAATAACCAGCTTAATAACAGGGTGCCTTAGACCACTGTACTACCAAGGCTCTTTGATCTTGTTGCACTTAAATCTACCCATCACATTTTCAGTTTTGCTTTTTCTTTAAAACTCCTCTTGTGAAGCAAACCATTGGCTAGTATTAATATGATAATAAAGCCTTTTCAGTGAATGTGGGGAAAAAATGAGATTTTTATCTAATTTCTCAGCTGGAACGACCTAGAAAACTTGTCTGCTTTACAAGAAACCACATTTGCATCTCACAAAGTCTGAGAGAAACCTGTCATCCTGTCCAAATGTTAAATTTTCCAAATGAACTTGGTGTGGCTTTTAACAAATCTAATCGGAACCAGCAGCTGAACGACACTTTATGACAAGGAAACACAGTTGAGTTGTGCATTTGAATTGCTTGTCACCGGACTCCCCCTTTTCTACTCCTGTTTGTTCAATAGATGGAAAGGCAGCAGAGATAAACAGCTCCTTTTCTGCATTGTCCAAGAAATGGTGTCGGATAGAGAGATATTACCCCAAATAATTCTTTTTTATTTTTTTTACTTTTTATTCTTATGTGATGATCTTCCTTGAAGCCCTTACTCTAGGTTCCCAACTTTGCATACCACATTGTCAAAGAACAGGGGTTCCAACCAGCATGGGGTAAAAGGCCCCTTTTCCCAATAAAAATGTCTTTGTTTTCAGACATTCCGTTTTTATCGTTCTCATTTCAGCTAATTTTAACGATTAAAAACATGCAAGACTATTCTTATCAATATCCTTAGAACTATAAATAAAGGAGAGATAACTGGGACCACTGCAAGTCCAGTTTTTCTTCTAAACCTCCATCTCTCTCCCCAAAGTACCGCCAACTCTGCCATTCTGTTAAACTGTTAAACTAGTAGAATATTATTTAATTTTGGCTCCAAACTTCCAAAGTGTCTGCATTCCTGAATGTACAGTACTGTATGGATTCTTACTTAGGGTGTTTTGACATCTGGTTCTAGTTGGTAAAATGTTGGTTCCATGGGAAGGGGAGATGGGGAGAGAGAAGACAACAAAAGAAATTATTCCTCCACCCTGAAATCTGTCCAATCTGTCCGGGTTCACTTTTTAATTATTCCATAGACAACTAATCCCCCATAAAAATAGCTTGTTGTTTCCAGTGCCATTCCCTTCTGTACTCCTCCATCTTACTTAATACTATTGGCTCAGCTGCTCTGACATTGCTGGGGAAAAAATCATGGTGATCCTTTGACTTACTCTGATGTCACTCAGGAAATATTCTATGTTAGTTTAGAGAAGACTAATTAAACAGGACAGAGAAACCTGAGGATTGGTGGGAAATAACTTGGGACTCACACGAAAGGGGAGCATGATCAGAACTGATGGGAACGGAGAACTGAGGGTGTCTATTCTTTCACACAGAAAGCTACACAACTTTTCTTCTGGCCAAATGAGTCTTCAGATCTCTGTCCTCCCAAGCCTCTTCTTTCACACGAACCGTGAATAGAGAGGCATGAAATAGGCTTGGAATTATCCTATTGTGGTCCTCTGTTTTTCGTTGGGTTGGTGTTGAGATCAGTTCAGGTCTGTTCCTCATGTTTGCAGCAATACAGTGGCTGCAGTGGAAATGACCTTGTGCACTGCAGATATTAATTGGCCCCCACAGAGAGGGCCCGCAACTTGGGTGTCCTCCTGGATGCGCGGCTGTCCTTAGAAGGGCATATGACAGCCGTGGCCAGGAGGGCTTTTTGTCAGGTTCGCCTGATACGCCAGTTGCGTCCCTTTCTGGACCGGGACTCCCTACGCACGGTCACTCAAGCACTCGTCACTTCTCGTCTGGACTATTGTAACGCTCTCTACATGGGGCTCCCCTTGGGGTGCACCCGGAGGCTCCAACTGGTGCAGAATGCGGCTGCGCGGGGGATTATGGGAGCGACGGGGCGCTCCCATGTGACTCCTCTCCTGCGCGAGCTGCATTGGCTTCCGGTGGACTTCCGGGTGCGCTTCAAGGTGTTGGTGATTACCTTTAAAGCGCTCCATGGCTTAGGGCCAGGGTACTTACGGGACCGCCTTCTGCCACCAATAGCCTCCCACCGGCCGGTTCGCTCCCACAGAGAGGGCCTCCTCAGGGTGCCGTCGGCCAGACAATGCCGGCTGACGACCCCCAGGAGGAGAGCCTTCTCTGTGGTGGCACCTACCCTATGGAACAATCTACCCCCAGAGATACGAGTGATCTCCGACCTCCGGATTTTTCGTCGGGCCCTAAAAACTCATTTTTTTCAACTAGCCGGTCTGTCCTGATTTTAGGGTTAGTTTTAAAATTTTTTAAATTTTAATATTTATTTTAATTGACAAGTTTTAAATTATGAGCCAAATTTATAAATTATCTTAATTCTATTTTAATTGTGATGTTTGTATAGATGTTTTTTATCTGGCTGTTCACCGCCCTGAGTCCGAAAGGAGAAGGGCGGTATAGAAATGCGAATAAATAAATAAATAAAATAAATAAATAATTGCACTGTACGACTCTCCCATCTGTGGCATTGTCCAGGACCTACTAGGTGTTCCCATGTAAAATTGGAGATACTTATCCATATCAACATTCACTGGATGTAAACATTATCTTCAAAGACAAGTGGAAGAATGATGTTGCCAGAAAGTGCCATATGGTGTTTGTTTGCTCATGCGGTGACATTGGCATGGCTTGGAGAACAGACTAGATCAGGGCAAAGAAACAGATTAACACATCTTTATTATTCCAGGAAAAAGCACATCCTAAAAACATATTACAGGTTTGTACTGCAGCATAAACAACCAGGTCCAAGTCCAAATTCAGAGGTGAGAGAGGGATCTCTAATTTATTATATTGTTTGGTGAACTTTAAGCATCAACCTTTCAACAGTCCTGCCCTGCTTAGCTGAGAGCTAGACACTGACACAAGTTCATCAGCACTCTTTCTATACAACCCTGATTCCCTTAGGAGAGACATAGATCCATAGCTAAGATATTAACTATTTTCAAGCTCAGACGCTGGGAATTTCCATTTGAAAGAATGAAACCGGAGTCCAATTTGGACTCTGGATAGCAGCCACTAGATACTAAGCGATTAGGTTAAACTTTTGAGTGTGCTTTTTTATCTTATGGGAAGGTGTTCCATCAATCAATTTTCATTCCTGGGGCAGGCAGCTAAAAGGCACCTCCAGACTTGTAAATTAGGTGAGGCTACAATACCTAAGAGATTTGGAACGAAACACAATGACACAACCTCAAATATACCATCCCAATAACATTGAGAATAAGGTAAATGGTTATAAATGATTAATCAGAAGCTCTTGAGGGGTGGGGGAGAAAATTATTGATGAACAAGGGTTTTTTTTTTTGTTGTTGTTATTTATCTAAGAATTCCCAAAGGTAGGAAAACATGCATATAGGATGCAGGCGAATAAGATAATTCAGCTTTAGTGGTAAAAATAAATTTCTGTTCATCGTGTTGTTCCTTCTCTGCTCTGTGTTCAGCAGAAAAAAAATGGCTTCAGATCAGATGATGCCATGTAGTTCTTGCCTTCAGATAACATTCCTTTTGAGACAATTGGTTTCCTTCAGGTATATACAATTTGCAAAGTAATTAAGAGTTTTTATTTTTACACATTATCAGCCAATACTTAACAAGCACATGGACAATCAACACTGCTATCCAACATTCAGCACAGCTTCACACCAACATGTGGACTGAGGGAAGCTGTTTTGAATAGCGTCATAGTAAGTTCTGTTCAAAATTTTTTGGCAGAAAGAACCTGTCCCATCACAAATGAGCCCATGCCCAGGATTTAGCCATGGTTCCTTACTTCTTCTGAGGTTTTTTTTATTAAAAAAAATATTCTTGAATTTAAATGCCTCGCATGGAAACAAGCCATACTGGAGTAACTTGGATGTGAAGAACAATTTTGCAAACATGATGGAACACAAATATGGGTTGGTTCAGAAAGCTAAGCTATAGAACCATAAGGTTGGAAGGAGCAAGCATCCAAACTCTCAGCCACCAAGCCTCTCTGCCTGAACATATATTTTGCTCAATTTTGGCTCAGTATATTGGGCAACCCTACTCCACCCATTGTGATTTATCCTGTGACTGTAGTTAAATAAATCATGGCTCATTGGTGTACAAACTAGGTCATATTCTGGGCAAGTATAACCATGACAAATAGGCTTCGTGCCAGCACTATAGCATTGTAAGCAATTCATCAAATTTCCCAAAGCCGTATCAAACCCTAAGAAAGATTTGTTCAGTTTGCTGTCCCACCTTCAATCTTCTAAATGCACCTTTGCTATATTTTGACAAGGCTTTTTAATTTATTGCTATGGTTATTATTAAACCAGTATTGGACTGTTATGTAGAGCATTCTTCCAATTTGTTAGACTCAAATTAAAAATTCCCCCAACAATATGCTGAGCATGTATACACATTTAATACATCCGATGCTTACTAGACTGGACGTAAGGCTTTTACTGACCATAGCCTTCATCATTTTGATATTGGCTTTTCTGTTCAATTAAAAACGACAGACCAACTTTTGAGAAAATAGATTTTTATTAGGTTTTTTTTTTTAAGAGATCAAACACTCAAAACATTGAAAGCCCCCTTTCAGATCACAACTAGTGTTTTCTACAAGCATCCTTTTGTTTAGGAGTGATCTGCTCCAACAATAGAAAAAGCCAACCACATCAGGTGGTTTGTGCTGCTCTGGTCAGTTTCAGAGACAACCGCCAATGACAGGATTAGGACCAGGGTTTGTGCTATTGGAATGGCATAAGAGGTAAAAACTTGGCAAGACCCCTCCCCCTACCTATATCTTATTATATTTAAAGACCAAATTAATTTCACAATGGAAGGATGTATTGAGTAGTGTTCTGAGCATAGCTAGTAAAGCCAAGAATGAAGACTACAGAAAGAGGCTAGAGATAAAATCAGAACCAGACTAGATCACCTGATGTCTTCCAGTAGCTTTAGATATTAACTTTCATTTACTTGCCTAGTCAATAGCAAATGGTTTTTGGAATAGCAGTATAAAGTATCTGGAAGATACACAGAGCCAGGCTATTCCCCCAGTGCAAGCATCCATTATCACTAATAATTTGGCAATTCACAAGCCATGTTAAGATATAATTATCTATATACATAGGATACTTGGAAGTATAGCGTCCCAAACCTCAATGCAACACTTTCCATTTACTCTAGAAAGAAGAGCATAGTAAGCAGCTAACAGAGGCCTGGTTGTGAAGGCAATGCATAAATCCCATGTACCTATATGAGTCTCTTCTTTGCTCCCTCCATCTAGAACTGTTTTGAAAAGTAATTTAAATATATTCTGAAATATTATTGCATTAGGAAGATGTGAATCATTTTGTATCTTGGTAGAAATGATGTGACTTCTGTGTAGCAATGTTCCCTATCCTTTTTTTTTTCTTTTGGCACCCTAGAGTGGTAGCTCTCTGCCTCAGATTGTACCATAGATGAACTGGGACAAGTTATCTTCCAATCATCAGTAGAAGATACAATCAGCAAAGAGGGCTGAAGACTGCAGTGAAACTTCAGTATGGCATTCCCTACTTCGTTCCACCTACTCTGCAAAAGCCAATTATGCCCTTAGAAGGAGAAAGGATAGCAGTTTGGAAGCCACCTTTATTCCTGAAGCCTTTTAATTTGGGTAGCCTAAAACAGCCTTTCCTTGTAGTTCAGTTTGTCAAAAATGTACAGGTTGGGGAAAGCTAACTTAGATCCATTTTGTTTCAGTCCGAAATTATGTATGATTAAGTAAAGTAAATCCAACAGAGTTCAATACATTGTATTTATTTATGGTGACAGATTCTAAAGAATCCAAAGTTCGTATGTCAGGCTTATTGCATGACAGATTTGATAGCTGCAGAACACATTCAAACACAAGTCTAGAAGTGCCATTCATAGTGTCAAACTCTTCAGGATATTTTCATGCACACAAGGAAAACAGCAGTATCACAGCAGATATATCTGGTGCAGCCTCTACTTATATTTCACCACACATCCCCATACAGCAAAAAGTGCTTTAAAAAAAAAAAGCATCCAGCAAGCCCTTGATTACATGGGAGAACTTTTTTTCTCCCAAACACAGCATTGATCTGTTTTTTTTTTTTAAAGAGGCAATTTTTACTTTTTAAATTTTCACCCATCATTTTAGCTAAAAACATTGCTGGCAGCCAGCTGTGCGGTTTTAGTGCAAACCCATTTCTCTCCTTGTAAATGTGAATTATTAAATGGTTGTCAAAGGAGACAGTTTGGAAAAGCAAAGCCTTCCTTCAAGTGGCAGAGGAAACCTAGGGCAGCCCTCTTAATCATCAGGCATTGCAGAATATGGAAGACTTCACCAGTATAGAGGAGAGATCATCTCAAGCCACCTATATAATCAAGAACTCTATTTACACAGCATTGGATTTATCAGAATTGAGAAGTTTCTCTTAGCTTGTACAACTTGTAGTAATACCAAAGTGGGTGAAGTTGTGGTAGGTATTGGTCAACAGATGTTAAAAACTGCCTTACCATCTCAGCTCATTGTCTCTCAGGAAGAGGCAGGGTGTTTAGCTAGACAAAATCCAAGTATATTTTATTTCTTTTTTTCTTTTTTTTTTTAGTCTGCTCCAACAAGGTACAGTTTTGATTGCAAAGAAAACAGATTAGCAAAGAAGTCAACCTTCAAAGATACACCATGGAGTATTTTGTGTATCCCTTACAGAGCAGGTATGTCCAACAGCAAAGTATCTGCTGCCTCAGCTTCCTAAAAAGTATAAACTAATCTGAACTGATATGTTGTAAAATTTCTATGCAATCCAAGAAAATATATAGGAAGAATTATTGTGCTGGGTATATAATTATTTCAAAACCTAATTTGACAAGACATCAACAATTTCTTGTGTACAGTTGTCTACAGCTCTCTCGTCTCTTACTTATTCTACTGTAGCAAGCGCAACACATGAGGAATTTTCTCTACATTGAAATTTTATAAGCAAAAGCAAGGCAATGGACCTGTGCAAATCAGATCTGATCCAAATGTATTTTTTCTAAATCAGATTTGAATTGTCAGTTCAAAAGTGTGAACTGTGTTAATCCAATTTGTTAAGTTCAATTCAAACAAAAAGTCATCTAAACTGGATCACTTCATCTGATTCAACGCATCAAACCTAGTCTTCAATTTGATGACTTGATTCAATACATCACTGATACCTTGTCAAATTAAGACTGTAAAGTTTTGCACAGTCATAACAAGCAGTGTTAAAATGTTTCCTTAGTCTAACATGGAATCAAGTAGGTAGTCACAGACACCCAACAGGGAGAGAAGCACAATTCTCAAGATACTGTAATGGGCTATCAGACACAAAGCTGAGGGCTTCTCAGATCAGTTCTGGGTCTAACTGGTTCTTTTTGTTAACCAGGACAAAGGCTATGCATGTACCTTTTTATGTTTTTGGTCCAGCTCATTTTTACTCTAATACCATTGACAGTCATAGAGGCCATTAAAGCCTGGGAACAACTGCTCCTTGCATGAAAAAGATATACTGATCCACACAGCAACATACTGATCTATAGACTTTCCTTTAAGAGGAATTAAAGTGTTAGGGTTTTGGCACTGCACATTAAATTGAATAATAATTCAACTTAATAATAATAATTCAGGGTAGTTCCTATTTCCTCTGGTAGCCTTTGCAATGAGGGCACATAATCCATCTCATTAGAAATTCTCTTATCATTATGAATTGAACCCCCATTTAGTTCCCCATCCCAGCTCTGCTCCAGCTGTTAATCAGTGCTGCTGGTCCATCAGACAGCAACCTGTTACAGTGGCTGCTGTGGAAAGCCTCTGCCTACCTCAGATCCCTTGACAGAAATGAATGTGTGATCCTAAAACCAAAAATTCCTGGCAAACATCCATAACTAAGCTGTCAATATATATTTTTGCCACTACAAAAAAAATTACAGTATTTCTTTTTTGGTTGCAGGCACTTGTATAAGATTTCTTTGGTCCCTTAAAAGGAATTAACCACTTTGAAATATGTTCAGAAAAAAATAGAGTCTGCACAGCCCATAATGCTTCTTGCACTAAGAAAAAAAAAATCAGCTTGCATTTAAGGTAGTGCAGCTCTGCTTTTAACCTAATCCTTTCCACCCACCTTATACATTAACTCAAGCATTTTCTTCCTGTAAACATATCTGGTAATTAGACATATCACTGCACAATTTCCCACGATTAAGTAGACTTATAGTTCCAATGTAAGAGCAAGATACTCAGAGCAAGAGACCTATTTTTTTTTTCCTTTTCTTCTGAACACACAGCCTCTGCTCCTTGAGAAGACAAAGACTGGAGCTTTTTTCAGCATTCAGCTGCATGGGAGCCACGTTGGGTAGGAGTGACTGCAAGGCAGAAGAGGTTGCATGTGGGTTACGTAATAGTTGACGTTTATTTCACTGATGTATGGTGCTGGCTGATAATAACAAGTCACATTTGTGACAGTTGGAATTATGTTCCGCTCAGCCAGGACCCGGAGGGCCAACATGGCAATGAGGTTCAGCGTCTGTCGTCTTTCATGTCCCATCAGGCACACCGTACTCTCATTTACCACTCTGTGTAAGGTCATCAGGCAATCATACCTTTTGCTTTCCATCCCTACAAAGTGACTTTGGAGGTAAGACTCCAGCTTTCGTTGTTGTTCCCCAATGTCAGGAAAGTCTATAAAAAACCTCGAACACATGTACCTCTGCAAGGCTTTCATGTCAACTTCTGATTTAGCTTGAAATCCCCTCACGAGGAGGTTGCAGTACTTCAGAAGCCCACCTCCTCTGATTTCCTCTGGATTCCTAGTAGCTATAATTCGGTTCCTCAGGTGATCAATCGCCTCCTCAAAGTCCCCATACATACTCTCCCCAGTGACAGTAGGGTGGAAGTTTGCAGACATTGGATTTTCTGAGCACTCTCCAAAGAGCAATAGTGAGTCCAATATGATCTGGAAAGAATCAACGCTGAACTCAAACTGCCGCCGGAGAGAGTCTACAAATTTGAGTTCCACATTCTTCCCACTGTTGTTTGACAGTGATATAAGACTCCAGCGGTCAGTTTCATTGCACACTTTCACCAACTTCTGCACATAGGCCTCCTTCAGAGTCATGGGAGTGATCTTATCTTTGTTTACCCCTTCAGGGAGGAAATCCAGGAGACAATCCATCACTACATCTTTTACCAGCTGAAAAATATCCTCGCTTTTCAGATCAACACCAAAAATGAGATCCAGATCTTTATACCCCAGACCGCTGTCCTGGTGCAACACGTGGCTAGCTGCTGAGCCATTCAGCCTCACATTGTGGACAGTGATGCCCTGCTTTTCTAGACGACTACGGACCACCTGCAAAGCAAGGAGAGGCAAATTGGTACGAGTTGACAGTAACTAATGGTGTGGAAAGCAGTTTCAATGGGAAATGTAACAGACCACAGGCTAGGAAATTAGAAATATGTGAAAATGTCCTTAGTATCTTTAGAAACAATACAGAAAATCAAGCCAAAAAGAACAGTGTAATAGCCAAATGTGAGACATTCCTATGAGCCCAGCTGAATATAATGCCTGGAAATTATCAAATCTACTGTTGTATTGCTGTTTGCATACTTGTCTTATGGGATAAACAGCAGCTCAGGTGAATAATTTTTAAATAGGAGTAGTATAGGAGAAAGGGATTAACAACTAACTTTACCAATAATCTGTAGACCGCTTTTTTACTGAATGTTTGGTGTGACATCAGGATTTCATTATGCTGAAATCCTGATTTCATTATGCATAGTTACAGATGAACAGATCTTCCATATACTTTGTTGTTCTTCTGTCTTAAGGTAGCATCTGCCCTGACAGGTTCAAAATAAATACTTGGGCCTTCTCTTATCACCTTTACTTTCAAAGTCAGGAATTCTCCTACAACTTTCTTGTAGCGCAAATGATATAAATTTGAGGTTGTAGTTTGAAATGTGAAATAAGTTTGATGTTAGTTAAAAAACTGGTGAGTGATATTCCAGATTGCCAAGGTTTAAGGACAAAGAAAAGCTGCTTCTCTATGGACCTACAACCATACAGCTTTAAACACCTTGTGAAAAATTTAAGTTCAACAATCATGCAGCTGCAAATTTGCTCAAATTTAAATGCAACTCAGGCTGTAACTACAATCAAAATTATTATATAGGGTTGAGATTAACACCCCCCCCAGTCTTTTAGTTCTCTTCCAAAATCAATTATTATCACTTCAGTAGACATTCACAAAAGATATATGAGATATTCAGATGGCTGTACTATACTGATATACATAAGTGTCATCTTAGTCATCAGGACTAAGTCAGGCCACAATCTCGGAAGCAGGCTTCAGACAGAGACCCTTATAATGAAAGCATATGTTACACCCAGTTAGGAAAATATATGTTAAGATACAGAATTTCAGACCACCAAAACCCAGAGCATGAGGATTTTATTCTACCAAAATAAAGCTAGTCATTAGCTTTCTGGTAAGGTTGGAGGTTCTAATGGTGTTCAAGAAAGTGAATAAATACCAAGCTACTCTTAATATATCTACCTGTACAATCTGAAAAAAACCCAGATTATACAGCAATTATACAAATTTAAGGGGAAAAAAAGTTTAAATGTCCTCTGGGAGGTTTTTTTTCCTGTTTCACAACTAGCACACAGTTGCAAACTGGATAATTTAATATCAGAAGAATAAATCTTACAGAAGACGTCTGTTTACTGAGAATACTGGTCAATTTGTATAGCTACAGTGTATCATTAGCCATCTGGCAGAATAGGCATATTAAATATTCCTTACCTCTTTTGGTTTAGAGACAAGACACATCAGGCATTAGAACAGTAACTGCCTTTTTAGGTTACATGCTCAAGACTGGTGAACTCTGTATTTAGCACTGGCTAATATTTTCTGGTCAGAGTCAATCATTTCTGTTTACAGTACAATGAACTGCTATGTGCCATTTAGTAATGTTATGGTTTTAGAGGTATACAAAGACTAGCCCTCATTTCCCTTTAAGAACACTTGTCCTTTTGCATGTTACAACAGCATTGTTCTGCAAAGTTGTGGGGTTTCTTGTAAGAGAACTTGAAGCAAGATATATTTCATTCAATTAATTGGACAGATATTATGGGATGCATTGGGAGATTCTTATCAATATTTAATATTTCTAATATTGCTGAAGTGATCAAGTTTATGTGTGCATAAATATTGTGAGTTGAATTACTCTAGCTAAATCAGAATGCAGATCCTGGCTAATTTGTCAGTGTCTTTGTGTAGTATAATTGAATAACTAAAACAGAATTAAACCAAGTCTATATGTTTTTGTAAAAACAATCTATTACTTTTACTTATATTACTTTGTTAAACAACTCACTGAAATAAGAAGAATGTGCTTTTCTATTAGAATATTTCAATGTCACTGGTTAATGGGGATACTTCCAAAAGTTATCTGATCAAGAAAACTTTTTGAACTGCATTGCAGAATTTATTTCAGGGTGACCAAGTAGGTCATGTAAAAATGTCAGAAGGGCACAGAATTCTTCATATTTGCATCCAGGGACTGAAGGAGGGGGAAAAGTGAATTATATCCTTCCTTTTTGTATTGGTTTTAAAAAGCTACTTTGACACTTTGAGTACCATTGTTGCTATAGTCATTTGTTGTCAAAGCTATAACTTTACATACTGTACCAGTGTATATTCTTTTCAAGGCATCACCATTTAAAATGGCAAAACTCCTAACCAGCATATATACAAAGACTGCACCATAGTTTATTTGGACAGTGCTGTTTATGCTTGAGAGAGAAAATTAGAATCTATCAGCTGAAAATCTCAGTCCAATCTGTCACTGTTCAACATCTTACCTTCTAAAACCTCTTCATCAGCATCAATGCTATCTCCAACTGCTGTCCTACACCCTACAAAATTCAATTAATCACCAGCCAAACCCATATCCCACATGCTACTGCTTGTCCTCTGAAATACCTTCATGCCAAATCAGCATTTTTCCATGCTTTGCCAGCCAAGCCTTTTATACTGGCTGTTACATGTTCCATATCACACCCACCCTATAGTCATAGCTATATTCAACTACTTGAGCCCTGTACGCACTTCTATATTCGTCATAATTCACTGCCAATGATATAATTCAAAATATCAGGTGCTGGTAGCTAGCCTTTACCCATCAAAAACATTGCTCCATAATCCAAAGATAGTTCACCAGGTAATTTAACATGGAATGGTAGAGATGGGACACCACCCAGTGCTTGAGTAAGGTTGACTACTCTATTTAGGTAGTCAAATACAGGACTAAATGTGTGCAAGAATATGCCAGTCTTATTAATTTTTGCTTTAAGAAATTTTATGGCTGCACATTTTGGAAATTACCACAATATGAATTTAAGTAATCTGTAAGGAATCTGAAAATTAAAAACCTAGAAACAGAATGCTGTATTCTAAAAAATATGGAATGTTCTTTTTTCTTCCATACCATGTCAAACCTCCTCCTGGACAGAATGCCATATTAAAAGGGATTCAGCCTGCTTTGGTGGTATCAAGAAGTTTCTGTCTCTAGATTGACATCTCTTATTAGCTTGGCTTCTGTGTTCAGAGAGTAAAGTGATAGGTATACTAGAATTGCCTGGCAGCCATCGTGACTCTCCTTTTCAGAATTTCAAGTTCTGCAGTGCCTATTTATTTATTCATCAGATTTCCACACTGCCCATCTCACCTAAGTGACTGGGCGGTTTACAATAAAAGATGATGTCTAATTAATGATTGAAGCAAGTATCAAACTAGCACAAAAACATTTACATGTCTTTATGTATTGCATTCCTAACTCATTTTCTCTCTAGAAGCTCAAGGCAACGCACATAGCTCTTCCTTGTGCAATTTCCCCCAAAACTACAATTAAGTAGGATAGACTAGACTAAGATACAGTGACTACTCTTAATATCAGCTAATAACTTCCCATGTGTAAGGATGAATTTAAATCTAGATATATTTTTTCATGCACACATTTTACAGTTGGAGTATGTGGTTCAAAAGATAGAACCAGAAAAACTCTGTATGAAAGAACTGCCCTAATTTAGAGTTCTGCAATACAATTAGTACAGAATGTGTAATTTTCATATAATGCATTATGTGAGTACAAACATGCACTTCCCATGGAAACACTTTAGCTCCTGGCAATTACTGTAGTGAAAGGCAGCAAGTTTTGTTCAATGCTTTAAAAAAATAGAACCCAATGTGCCTTGTTACATCTGAGTCATTGCAGAGGAATGAAGCCACCTCCCATATAAAATGAATATGCAAGCAGCTTTTTGGCACAACATTAGTGCCTACTAAGCACAGTGTTGCTACTTTATAGACAAACAAATCCTTAGTAATTTGTGGCAGTGATGACACACTGAGCCGAGCAGGCTATTTAAGGGCAAATGGACTGTACTGGAAGCAGTTGGTCCAGCTTCTCACTGGGCAGAAATTACAAGCATCAAGTATAAATGTGTGCGCCCATTGAGGTCTACTTCCAATGAAGTATAGAAAGAGTATTCCAAAGTAATGTATATGTTAATGAACATGGATTTGTATTATGTCACAAAGTTATGTAATCTCTAGGTAAAGAAATATCATCTGCAAGACCATGTGGTGTAATGGTTACACTGCTGGAATAAAATCAAAGAATCTTCAAATCATGCAACCACAAAACTTGTTAAATAAAATTTAGACCAGCTATATATATGAAATGACAGGCATTAAAGTGATGTCCAAATTATATATCTATCAAGCCAAAGCAAAGCACAATCCTCATTCAGTGATCCAAGTGTGCTGAGGCTCACTTCCTGCCAAGACAGGATACACTTAAAGCAAATACTAAAGCTATAAATGGTTGGGTAATTCTAAAGTCAATGTAAAGGTTCAACTGAACTGTGATCAAGCAAACAATCTGCTCCAAGCTGTTCTCATCTCAGAGTACACTGTATATTCCCAGTTCTAATAAGCACATTAAAATCCATCCTATCGTCAGCAATGACATTTACAATTTTACCTTTCCAGAAAAGTCCAAGCTGGTGAATGAAATGGAGAGCACATTGCTTTGAACTTTTATGCCTGTAACATTTTTCATTAACCCAGGAGTGACTGAAAAGGAACAAAAAGAAGCTGACATATGCTAGAGATGTTAAAAAGATGACATCAACTGATGTGTAGTGGCTGTCATGTTATTTCCTTTTTATATTGACAAAGTTAGATCAATATAAATGTGAACAATGCCTTCATTAAAGGTAGTCTTCGATTTACAACCATTTGTTTAGTAACCATTTGAAGTTACAACGGAACTTGAAAAAAA